ATATATATATATATATATATATATATACCCTTAAATGTTACTCTTCTGTTTATAGAAGTTACGAAATAACTCTTTATTATTGTTATTTAAGTACACACTTGGAAAATTTTCTTTCGTGTTATTATCCTTCTGGATGTAGACGTTATGAAATATCACTTTAATGTCCTAGGTGAATAAATTAAGCATATTTAAACATTTTATTTTAGTATTGTTATTCCTCTAGACATAGATGTTACGAAATACCACTTCAGAATTGTTATTCTCCTAGCTGAATGAACATATTTAAATATTTTATTTTAGTATTGTTATTATTCTAGACATAGATGTTATGAAATATCAGTTTAATATTGTTATTCTACTAGGTAAAACATATATTTAAAACTCATTTAGTATTATTTTCATTCTACACATGGATATTACAAAATAACAATTTAATATTGATATTCGCCTAGGCAAATGAATATAATTTAAAATATTTATTTAGTATTGCTATCCCTCTAGACATAGATATTATGAAATAATACTTTAATATTAATATTCTCCTAAGTAAAGATACATATATAAAAATCCTTTAATATTATTACCTTCTGGAAATGGATGTTACGAAGTACTAAGTTAATATTGTTATTTCCCTTGGTAAATTAATATATTCAAAAATATTCATTTAGTCTTTTTACATTTCTAAAAATGCATGTTACGAAATTTCACTTTAATATTGTTATTCTTCAAGGTAAATATATTGAAAAATGTGGCTTCAAGTGTTGTTATTATTCCAGATATAGATCTTAGTCAAAAATATATTTAATATTGTTATTCTCCTTGGTAATAAAATTGGAAACATTCCTGTAGTATTGTTATCCTTCTAGACATATATGTTTCGAAATATCACTTTGATAGATATTTTCTTAGAAAATTACATTGGAAAAATTCCTTTAGTATTATTATCCTTCTAGACTTAGTAGATATATTGAAAACAAAAGTATTGTTATATTCACAGAGATATGTGTCACGAAATATCAGTTTAATATTTTTATTCTTTTGCTTACGAATGTTACAAAATTTTGTCTTTTTTATAGTTACCTGCATGTCCCAAGTGCTACGAAATCTAATACATACCTATCCTGCCTATTTCTAGATGTTACGAATTATCTTGTTATTAATAGCCACGTATTCCCTGTTTTGTGAAAGAAACTCAAATTTCTTATTCTTCTATTGACAAATATTGTAAATTACCATTTTATTATTATTTTTACTTTCCAATTTGGGTGGTAATGTTGATACTTTCAACTCTTTGGATATTTCCAAATAACACATTATTTTTACCTCTATGTATTTGGTTGTTACAAAAAACTCGTCTTATCTTTCATACATTTTTCTTTTAGTTGTCTCCCGGTGAGTCAAAGATAAAATTACGGAGTCACAATGATAAAATCTAGGGTTCTTTTCGCCACAGTAAACAGAGCATGTTTTGTACACGTTACAGAGCTTGTCTCCTCCTAGAAGTTACGAAAAGTCACCCTACTAAATTTGTTATTTTTAATTTGTTCTATACCACTAGAAAATAGGAGTGTGACCCCTTAAAGTCTGGTAATGAGCATATTACCCAACATCATTTGGAATAATCATAATGCATCTAAATTTCAAGTAGTCTGTAAATCAAAACTAACTTTTTAGCTTCAAATCTATTTATTTAATGTTAACACATTGTTAGAACGGTTTCTATTGTTGGGCAGATTCTTCGGGATTATTCGGAAAAATAAGGATGCAAGGTCCAGTCCATTTAATGATAACAAAAACGTTTTATTTCTTCGACTACAAGTTCTACAAATGAACGTAACTGATTTTTACTGATAGGCCCAAATTCATAGTAAACGCCGATACAAGTATGCCACTTGCTAACTTATTACGCTCTACAAAACGCATGGCGTATCATTATTACTTCGTCAAGAACACAAATTTAATAATCCAAATAATAATAAGCAACCGACTAACAACTCAATCAAATAATACCTTACTACGCCAGAGTCATTTTAACTTACAAACCGACACAAAGATCCAGTAACCATCTATTCTAGTTTAATTCGGGTTTTATATTGCTCGAACTCTTTTAAAACTTTGGAGAAAATTTTAAACGTTAAGTCGCACTCCTGACATGACGTCGAATCTCCCCCTGGCCAGAAAACAATATAAACGTCTAAATGTTTGTTTGTAGTTTAAACACAAAGCTACACATTAGGCTGTCTGTGCTCAACCCACCATGGGTATCGAAACCCGGTTTCTAGCGTTGTAAATTCGTAGACATACTGCTGTGCCACTGGGGGGGGGGGGCAAACGTTTAAATTAAAAATATTTAAAAAACGGCTCCTTAACTGGTCAGTGTAACAGTAAGTATACGACTTACAATGCTAAAATTTGCGTACCTATTCCCCGTGGTTGACAGAGTGGAGATAGTCATTGTGTAGCTTTGCACTAACAAAATAGCTTACTAGAAAAACAATTGACACACGTGGTGAAATGAAGTTTAAAACTAGATACATTGTTCAAAAATTCACCAGAGATATAGTAGAGTATAAAATGCTTACATTTTCATGCCGTAGGCATACAACGTTTCGGCCAGATGCACTTACATAAGTAAAAGATGCTAAACAGTATACGGAACAAAGTTAGAAAGATTGCCTACTTTCATCTGAAGAAGGTTACCTGCCCGAAAGGTTGTATGTCATCGTACGAAAATATAGATACTTTATGATTTATTATCTCTCTGGTGAATCGTTCTACAATTTATCTAAATTAAATACATAGCTTATAACAAAATAATATCAGACAATTATACCCAACGTTTTACAAGAAGTTGGAAAGATTGCACCATCTTCAACATTTACCGCCCTCTATGCATCTGTGGTATAACTAAGGAAAATAAAATAAAACTACCGGTAATGTCATTATACTTTTATTTTCCCCTCCCTTTATTCTGTTAATTCCTTTTTTTCCCCTTCCTCTAAACAATCCCCACGAGGAGTTTTTTCTCGTAAATCCTTCTAGTGGACCCTGCTGCATGTTACAAAATGTTATTATTTTATTGTTATCTGATTATTTATGGAAATTTAAGTGGCTTGGTCTCTTACGTTAACATAGGTTCAGTGATGACTTGGAGCTGATGACGGGCAAGCGACCGAGTTACTACTGGCTTTTCTGTTTGAAATATGTTGCCCCGGTTACCATGCTGACAATCTTGATAACCAGCTTTATTAAAATTGCTAAAGAAGGTAGCGGATACGAAGCTTGGGACAGTGAATCGGTAGGTTGTAACTTTTCAGCAAGATTTGTTTGAATATTCTGTCGACATTTCCCGCTTTGAAAACGATAATTATGACAGCTGATTTTCGCCATTTGAAAATCTCATTAAAAAATACTTTGTATCGTGAGATGTTTATAACATAAATCTTAGCGTGTATGATGTTATCCTCAGGCTATAGTAATCTCAATGTCAGCTTACTATAAAAACATCACTTTAACTCTGCTTATTTCATGTTAGAATAGTGACAGAACACGATACTAGTTGTTCATAAGGGTAGGAACAGGGAAAATAGAGGAAAAGCACCCAC